TAACTGAATGGTTTATTACTGATTTGTAAGACTTTATATATTCTGAATACAAGTTCTTTGTAAGATATTAGTATTGTGAATATTTTCTTCCAGCATAGTTTATCTTTTCATTTTGCTTTGTTTTCTTTTTTATCCTTATCTGAGGATATGTTTATTTATTTTAGAGAAGAAGGCAAGTGGAGAGAAACTGGTTGCCCCCCATATGCGCCTTAACTGGGGATCAAACCTGCATCCTAGATATGGGCCCAACCAGGAACTGAATCCACAACCTTTTGGTGTACAGGATGATGCACCAACAAACTGAGCCACCATGCCAGGGCTACCTTTTCATTTTCTAACAGTGTGTTTCAGGTAGCAGAAGTCTTTAAATTTAAGGAAATCCAATTCTTAAAATTCTGTGCTTTATGGCTTATGTTTTTTGTTGTCTAATCCTGTTTTCTTCTGGAAGTTTTATGGTTTTAGTTCTCACAGTTAGGTTTATTGTCTACTTCAACTTAATTTTCTGCATGTGGTGTGAGGTATGTGTTGAAATTAAATTTTTAATATAAATATTCAATTGTGTCAGCACCAATTGTTGGAAAGATTATTCTTTCTTCATTGAATTACATTGACCAAGTGCATGTGTGCCTATGAATAGACTCTTCTCCTACTGATCTATGTGTCTCTGCGTAACTACCACGTTGCCTTACTTACTGTGGTTTCATAGGAAGCCTTAAAATTATTGGTTCTGTTAGTCCTCCCAAGTTTGTTCTACTTTTTCAAAATTATTTTGGCTACTCTAGATCTTTAGATTTCTATGTAAATTTTAAAGCTGACTTGACAATTTCTGCAAAAAGACCTCCTAGATTTTGACCGAGATCATATTGAATCCATAGATTAAATTAGAGTAGAATAACAATTTAATGATATTGAATCTCCTGATCTATAAACACAGTCTCTCTCTCCAATTAATTACTCAGGTCTTCTTTGATTTCTCTCAGCAGTGTTTTACAATTTTAAGTGTAGAGATTTGCATATTTTGTTTACATTTCTGGATGCTATTATAAATAGTTTTTTTAATTATAGTTTTAATTGTTCATTGGGGTTATACAGAAATAAAAATTTAAAATATGACCATGTATCCTACAACACTTTTTAACTCATTGTTAGTAGTAACTTTTTTGTCAGTTCCTTAGGATTTTCTACGTAGATGAATATCGCATCTGAAATTTTAAGATTTTTTTCTTCTTTTTTTCTTTTATTGTTGTTCAAGTACCATTGTCTCCATTTAATTGCCACAACTTTCCCCTGCCCCACCCACTCCCACCACCCACCCTTCTACCTCCCTTGGGCTTTGTCCACAGGCCCTTTATATATGTTCCATTTAAACCTTTAAACCTTTTTCTTTTTTCCCTTTAATGTCTTTGTTGTTTTTGGTATCAGTGTAATGCTAACATCATGACATGAATTGGGAAGTGTTCCCTCTTATTATATTTTGAAGTCTGTAGAGTTGGTATTGTTTTTTATTTTAATGTTTAAGAGAATTCACCAGTGAAAGCATCTGGACATGCAGGCTGTGTATGTGTATCTGTTCCAGTATGAGTGTGTATGTGTCATATATGTAAAGATTTTCTAACTGCAGATTCAAATCCAAATAATAAAGGGTCATTTGGCTTATCTGTTCCTTCTTGAATGAACTTTGATAGTTTTTGTTAAATCCCCATTAGATGAAGGAGAGAGAGTTATGATTCAAACCTAGTCAGTCTTGACAGTCTTAATGCCAAATAGTAGGCTGTTTCCCCAGTCTGAAACTGAACAGCAGATGTCTCAGTTTGTCAGACTCCTAAATATCAAGCTCTTGTACCATTATGCACATAGAAAGGCTAAGCATTCATTAATTTAAAAACAAGTAGTTATTAAATTTACACAGTATTCCCCCCTAACACACCAGCCCTTACTGCAGTCCCCAAAATGCAACCTGTGTCACATAGTGCCAGGCTGTATTACATATATATATATTATGTGTGTATACACACACACACTTTTATGTACACACATGCACGCAATACTAGGTACAAATGGCAATTAACAGTCCCTATAAAAATTCATTTCTCAGTTGAGGTTTTAAACTTCAAAACTGAAAAACATTCCTAAAAATCATGCTTCCTTAAGATAGAATTTGAATTGCTTGTTCAGTTTAGCTTCTCAGTCTAAGAATGGCTGTAAGGTAAGTTTTTATTTGGAAAGAAAAAGCAGCCAAATGAGTGCAATTTCTCTTTCCAATTTGGCCAGGCTATTTCATAGAAGTTACTCCTAATTAGACTAAAAAATCTGTGGCAACTTTCAGTGGTTCAAAGAAACAGTTTTTTAATTCATTGATTTTCTCTAGTCTTTGTTTATTTCTATTTCTTATTTTTATTACTTCTTTTTGTTTACTCTAGGTCTAATTTACTGTTCTTTCACTAGGTTCTTAATATGGAGGCTTGGATTTTTTATTTTTACACTTTTTCCCTTTTCTAATTGAAACAGCTATAAGTTTCCCTCTAAGTACTGCCATAGCCACACCTTAAAAATTTTGATTGTATTTTAAAACTCTATTCATTTCAAAATATTTTCTAATTTACTTTGTAATTTCTTCTTTGAGCCATAGGTTATTGAGAAGAATGTTGATTAATTTCTAGATATTTGGAGATTTTTCAGGTATCTTTCTGTACTGATAATCTAATTTAACTCTGTTGTGATCAAAGAACCAGCTCTGTGTGACTTCAAAACATTTAAATTTACTGAGGCTTGTTTTATCACACAGAACATGCTCCACCTGATGTTCTTTGTGTACTTAAAAAGAATGTGTACTTTACTGTTCTTGTGTGAAATATTTTATAAAAACCAGTTAGGTCAAAATCATCAATAATGTTTTTCAAGTATTTTTCTGTTCATACTTGTTTTCTGTTTATATGTTTTTTCAGTGACAAAAAGTGCCAACTATTATTATAGAATTGACTGTTTTTCTTTTTCTGTTTTTGCTTTATTATTTCAGAGTTCTGTCACTTAAAATTATTATGGTTCTTCATGAATTTTCAACTTTTTATTATAAAGATATAGAATTTAGGCTAATTCATTTCTATCAACATATTAAAGACGTTTATTTACTGTTGTCTTCTGGCTTGCCTAATTTCAGAAGCGAAGTTTCCAGTTCATATCTTTGTTTCTCTGTACATCGTGTGTCCTTTTTTGGGTTGCTCCTTAAAGTTTTTTTTTATTACCTTTTGCACAATTTGATTATGATTATATTTTATATTAGCTTTTCAAAATTTGGTTCTTTCTCTTGCTAAAAGTATTGCATAAGATATAGATAGAGTCAACAGATTTTGGATATTTTCATTTTCCTGCAGAGTTCCTCCACATTAAGGTCTACTTCCAAGGAATCACTCTGATTTATGAGGACTTTCAGTGCTTGACTGCATGCTCATGAAGGCTTTTGTGCAGTAGCATTCATTGAATCTACCAACACAAAAGGAATAGTTAAGTTTTATTGCTTAGGGCAATTCCCCAGACTTCCTATCAAGTTGAATCCTGTTGAATAGTTTTCTTTTTGATGTGACTTGAAGTTAATATAGAGAATTTTGGCATTTTTCTCCTAAACTAATGTATTTTTAAAATCCTGAAACCTATAACCATTGTAGTCAAATGAAAATGGTAATGAAAAGAATTGCAATAATATTTTATATACTCTACAGCTTACAAATTTCATGTACATTTTCTCATTTAGCTCTATAAATATTTGTACTGGGAAGTTTGTGTAGACTCACTCAAATTTTTAAACTTTGCCTGAATAAAAACAAGCAAGAAAATGTAACCAGAGGCATTGAAGTAAAGAACAAACTGACAGTAACCAGAGGGGAAGGGGAGGGGGGAAACAGGGCAAAGGGGAAGGGTCATCAAGGAACATGTATAAAGGACTCATGGACAAAGCCAAAGTGGGGTAGGAATGAGGGTGGGACAGGGAAAGTGGTGGTGGGAAAATGCAGAGAACTGTACTTGAACAACAATTTAAAAATAAATAAATTTATAGAAATGTTAAAAAAAATTTTACTGCCAACCACTTAAAAAAATTTAAAAACAATAACCTGCTTAAAAGCCCTACTAGTTATTGTTATTTAATTATACAGGAATACTTAGTTTCAAATGAGGTATAATCAGGATTAAAATGTTGATAAAATAAAACTAGAACTGAATTCTCCTCCATTTGTTTTGTGTTCTTGTTCCTCTAAGATTAGAAGTGGCTTTGCTTTCATTTAAAAGGATAAACAAATATGTTTCTATTTTACCACAATACTTTATAGCGGGAGCAATAGCAGGTTTAATACTAATCATTTCTTACTTCAATAGAAGAGAATAATCTCTAAAAGCCAATTTAAAATAAATTGGTATGTGGTAGCTATGAAAAAACTGTCAGTTGAGAATTTTAATAACTACCAGTTGAGAAAAAACTATCAGTTGAGAGTTTTAATACCAATTAATAAGAAGTCTTAAAAGCATTTGTATAGTCATATTTGTCATTTGTACATTTGTACTCCCCTCTCCCCAAGTTCATGAAGACTAAGTGCAAGTTAGAACTAATGAAGCTGGCCTGTACGAATCATGTTCACATCATAATCCTGCCTTTAAATGTATATAACAGAAGCCTAAACAACCAATGGGAAAAATAGTGTTAGCTATTGTCATCTACCTAAATATTCTTCTCATGCTTATTCACTTTTAGTTTAAGCAGTTTGATTACATGGAATATAAGTTAGTTAATATGTACTGAAATGACAAGAATAAGCTAGACAGAATTGGTAGGTATTATTTAAAATGAAGATTTAACCACAAATCCATGTTACTCAAAATTTGGATCCCCCAAATTTCACATTTCTAGCATGTTTGCAAGAAATGAGTACTTTTTTCTCCTTTATTGAAAACTTAACTGTTCTAATTTTTATTTTTAAAAGATTTACTTGGCTTTACATTTTTTGTTACAGGTATCTTCACGCAAGGACAGCTGGGCCTGGTAGACATCATCTTCCAGTACATTCACTATGATGAGATCTATGAGGCGATAAACATCCTGAGCAGTATGAACTGGGACACTCTGGGCCACCAGTGCTTTATCAGCATGAGTGCCATTGTGAACCATCTTCTTAGACAAAAGCTCACTCCAGAGAGAGAAGGTCAGACCTGAAATAAATATCATAAGTGGGTTTTACATAAACATGAAGTATATTTTATTTAGTCAGTTATTTATGAGGGTGTTTTGAGTTATGTTATTGAAGACTAAAAGACAAAAATGTTAATGCTGTATTAAAACTGACAAGATTAGATATCAAAAATTACCCCCATATAGTACTTACTATATAGTATTTATCAACATAAATAGCAACTTTCCTGTATATACTATTTTGGAACTTACAGTGCGGTCATTGGATATAGTTCAGTGTAAGTTCATGTGTGGAATATACTGATTTCAAACTTTGATCAAGAATTTTATGTACTTGCTAGGGCCTGGTAGACAGAAGGCCCCAAACAAAGGTCCTTATTCCTCCTTCACTGTAGACATCAATATCTTTCTCTCACACCACAGGTCCTTTGTCCAGACAGTAGTCCTTACCCCTGCTGGTGTCTGTGTATTTTTGGGTCAGAATTGCAGCCCAGGCTGCTGCTGCTTGTTTTCATTCTAACTTCTAGTTCTGTAAGTAGTATCTCAAATGTTTATTGTCAAAGAGAGGTAAAATTTTGTTTAAAAAATCCCAAATATGTGCCACATACAATAATGAAATTTTTGTATCTGTCATTTATTAATATGGTATATTTATTGTGATTTACTTATTTACTTAATATAAAGTGAAACTAAACATATTTGCACTTGCTTCTTTATTTCAAATCTTTGCAATAAGCATCAATATTAATGGTAGGAAATCACTGACATTAATGTGTAGCCAATGAGAAACAGTCCTCAGGATAGTTTATAAGGTAGGGGAAACAGGAAATATATCGAAAGGTGCTAACTGGAGAGCTTGTTTTCCCCTATTTTCTTTGCAAGTTGATAAATTTTCTTATTCTATTTTGTTTCCAAAGTAAATTGTTTAGATAGAATTCTGTATCTAACTTTCATTTTAGTAATTTTAGAGAAGAATAATCAATGTGAACATGTTCCTTCAGGAAGTCTGCATCATGGGACTTGGCCCAGCTCACAGGAGGCCCATAATAAATATTTATTTAATGTTACGTGAATGCTTTTTGGAAGTAATCGAACCCATCTATGGGGATTCCAGTATTTCTATAATGAAAAAATGCCAGGCACAGTGTTTGGCCCACAGTAGGTACTCGAGTATTAGTTAAAAATAAAAAGGGTGTAACTTCAAAATTTTAGGTACTAGGAGTTACTATCATATTTCTGCTTGCATAGTTATTCCAAATAATTATTTCTTAGTATTGGCATGCTCTCAAGATTGGGTAAATAATAGAGGAAATAAAAACAAAAGAAGAGAGTCCCTAAAGAAAAGCTGTTATGTTGCACAAATCTGTACAAGAGATCCTAAATTTACAACTGAAGAAATGTGGAGAAAATAAATTTGTACTGTGACTCAGGACACTGTGAAATTGCTAACATCTTGGTGAATTTGTATTGTAAGATTTCTGTGTTGTAATAAAGAATATTTTCCCGGATAATATTGGGGAGATTTGGAAATAAAATGCTTGTATGGTAGTAGGCTTTAAAATTAAAATGCTTTCATGATGCTGGGTTATGAGAATATGTACATTTTAAGTAGGTATATGCATTTTCCCCAAGTAACTGCAAAACACACTTCTAAAACATTCAGAACTCTTCTCTATTGAGATTTATTCCATCTGAGTCTAACAAATTTGACATGGTAATTTGTTTTCCTTTTATTAGTGAAACCCAGTGGGCTCTTTTATTTGTAGCCGTGTTGTGGCAAATCTTCATTTCTGCCTTAAACATCAAGCTGGGTTATCTAATGAATCTGTAACTGTGCTGGGAGTTCTGAGTGTTCCATGTAGGCTTGAACATTTCAGACGTATAAAACATGCTGTCAAGAAAACAAGCAATGGCAAGAGAATCTGGCTTGTTTTCACAATAGCATTGCTGTATTCAATTTTAATCTAAATTGACTGCTGCTTTGAAAGAAAATACCCCTAAAGTTCATCTTACTTTACTCTCTAGATTTGAGATTAAAAAAGAAATTATTTACAGCTTAGCCAAGTCCATAGCAATTACTCTGATGAGGTATTCAATACTTTCAAACCTAAATATGCCTAAAACTAAAGAGTTTCACTAAATAAAAATTTTTTATTCAACCAAATGCTAGTAAGTAGCATAAGAATCAGTGAAGTCTTACTATGAATTGTAGTATGTCATATATACTCATTCTATCACCATTATGGTAATTATAGAACTTCCAGGTATTTCTGGGAGGAAATACAACCCCATATGCATATCCTCGTAAAATTGTGAAGGAGGCAAAGCGTGCCTCTTTTTCCTAATTATAGTGCTCTGATTTATCCAAACCTGCTCTCCGATTCTTCTTTCCTAGGAAGGTGTCAGTTGACCCCAAGAAGATTAGCACTTCCTCCCTCCCAGGGGTGTTAGCTTTCACACCTGGACCAAAGCAACAGTCTTACTGTTTAGGACAGGACTTTGGGACCACATAAGAACTTTCACTATTTATGTAAAATTGTGATAGAGATATTAATATCTCTATAGATTTTACAATAAGACTTTTTATTTGGAGTATTTGTATTATTTTAAAAAATCATTTCTAATATTGATTTTAGTTTCCAGTGTGGACAGGTTAGCTTTCTCCTTTCAACTAAAGAGAGTAAATGTTTAGCACACACTTGATTTTACTGGAAATACTAGTTCAAACTGTGTTACTTTGATGAGTCACTGTTTTAATTACCCATTTGTGGTGAGAGGTTGATTCATTATGGATTTCTTCAGTTTTGACAGCTTTTTTGTTGCTCAAAGTCATTGTCAGCTTTGCCTTAAGTGAAAGTTTATACACAGGTTTGTTTTTGTACCAGCTGTCATATTTTAATTTCATCTTTCCTGCAACAAGCTCACATTTCATCCAAGTTTGCAAAACCTGACTGACTGCAAACATGAGTATTCTGTTGTAATTGAAGGAGTTTCACTTGTTTTAGTGCTGCTATGTTTGAATTCCACAGCACAGCTTGAGGCAAGCCTTGGAACCTTCTACGCTCCAACAAGACCACTCCTGGATAAAACTGTATTGGAATACAGAGACCAAATCAGCAAATATGCAAGGAGATTCTTCCACCACTTGCTCAGGTGAAATGATATCTTTAGATTAATTAGTATTAAACTAATTGCCTATTTAAGGAGCCATCTTCTTTAATTAGAATATTTTATAATATGGCTGTTTTCTAATATTCCATACCCTAAGAGAAAACCAAATCTCTTGATATCCTTTATTTAATTTATTCTTGTTTTCCTTTTAACTAATATATTTAAATATTGTTTAGGGCTTTCGCATCATCAGCACACTTTAATATAACTTCCCCTTTAATATGAAAGCAAAAAATACCAGCTGTATAAAATAACTTAATATTAATTTAATTGTGCTTTTAGCACTAGAGAAATGTTTTAGTTTAATTGGAGCTAAAAATATGAATGTGTTATAAAAAGCTCTGAGACAGGCATGGGTTAGTTTTACTTTAAAAATTACTGTAAAAGATTTGTCCATTGCCCTCATATAATGTGGCAAGTTGCCAGCTCTACTGTGCCTCATTTTTGCTGCTTTAAAGGGGTATAATACATTCCTTTAACCTTAGGTATTATATGAAAAATTGGATAATGTCAATAAATTACTGTGAGAAAAATAATGTAAAAGTTGAAGGACAAGTACATATAGTATAGCTCATTTATACAAAGGTCAAAAAATGGATGGGTGGAAGATGGATTGATAGAGATAAATGATAACAGGTAGATAGATATAGTTAGTTTAGAAATATATATAAATGTGTCAATACTATAAATGAAAACAAGGAAATGATTAGCACAAAATCTAAGATAGTGTGGATTGGGTTAATGAAATTGAGAAATAAATTTCTAGGAGCCTCCAAGGTATTAGTAATGTTCCATTTCTTAAAACGAATGGGTTATATATTTGGGTCCATTAAAAATTAGTATTGTTTTAGCTGAATGTGTACATTTTATATTCTTTTATATATGATATATTTTATAACAGAGTAATAAAATTTTCATCTCCATGTACCAAAAGAAAGTAATTGAGTTGAGTTTAGAATTTTAATTTTACTTACAATACCATTTGTTAAAATTCTATTTAACTCTTTAAAGCAATTTCATGTATAGTCTCTTCTTTTTTTCTTAGAACTACCCTGTTAAGGGGGTATTATCATTCGACAAATAAATAAACGACTTGTAAAGGGGCACTTTGGTCTCCACCCAACAGTGAAGCCTTTGGAAAACAGTCATTTTAGAAGCTGAGAAATGTTAATATATTGTATGAGTTATGATCTGTAATTGAATTTTGCTTTTTTATCTAAGTGACTTTAGCATATTCCAAGAAGCTTTCACCCTGAACAAGGCAGTCTTCTACCTATGAACCTATGCCAAAAATACTGTGGCTGTTGTGATATTTATTTGAACGGAAGGCTTTGTTCTTTGCACTCACTATTATTTTGTTTTCCCTGTTCCTAGGGAAAATTAATGAATTCAATTCTTGCCTAAAGAACACAAAAGATTAACATGAATGGAACAGGCATTTTGGAGGCACACTGTCGGTGGCCTCACTGTGTGTTTAGCCTCTGTAACTTTATGCAGTGATTTCTCTGTGCATGAGCATTGTATTTCCTAATGTGGTAATGTCATTATTCTAGGGCTGCTGGCCCTAGCATGCTCAGATCCTACTAATATTCACATATACTACTGTTGTACAATTGTTTTGTTCACTGATTTTTCTCAAATGCAGCATTCTGATTATATTTTGGATGTACTTTGATTAGATGACTATTGTTGCTGTTATTAGACTCCAGCTTTTCTGTGTGGTTACATCTGGAATTGAATGTTTTTCCCTTGGGATATATACCGGGTTTTTCATGTTTCCTTTTATTCATGATTTGCCACTATTTCGGTTATAATGAGTGTTTATTAGTTCTTTTAACAGTAGGCTATATGTGGCATTATGAAAAAACAGAAGTTCAGAGGAAATTAAATGAGATAGCTTAAGTTAGAACCATTCTTTTGTTTAATCTGCTGCCAGGAAGTTCCCCTGCTTAAGGGAAGAGAAATAGGCCAGATACTTTTTTGTATTTGTGAAGTGCTAGAATTGCATTATTCCCTGTACTTTGGCTAACCAGTATTTTAATACTCTAAAAAATTATTACATAATGGACTAAGTCCCACACAGTAAACACCATCATAGGGAGTTTTAAATTGAAGATGAAAGAAAGGAGTGCTGTGTAGACTAGGGATGTACCTAGGATCACTCACTGGTGAAGCTGATGACTCAGAATGCCTAAGTCCAGATTGGACTCTTTTTAGAAAGAAGCGAAGGGAGGGAGAAAAAGAGAAACATCAATGTGTGGTTGCCCCCAATGTGTCCCCCTCTGGGGACCTGGCCTACAACCCAGGCATGTGCCCTGACTTGGAATCAAACCAGTGACCCTTTGGTTCACAGGCTCATGTTCAATCCACTGAGCTACACCAGCCAGGGCTAGATTGCATTCTTTTGATTAATAAGAATAAACATAAGATTGATTTTAATTTCATACATGAATAGGGTGAATATTAATAGTGTGAATTTGTGATGATAGACAATTATGCTGTAAATTACTAAAATATTTTTTACATACAGGTTTGTTTTTATCTTGACAGTTAGAGGGAGTCCATGGACATCTTTTTTGTTTTTAGCAAGTATAAAAAAATTATCCTGACAGCTTTCCTCCAAATCAGAATGAAACTAAACTTTGTAACTTACTTCTTCTGCCCTTTCCTGACACCTTTTTGTATGTATTTAAAGTGATCAATTTTCATAAAGAAATGCTCCCTGTAAGTGTATGTCATTGCTGCTAACATTAAAGATAGAAAGTGGTAGAAGTACAGGCTTCATGTGGTAGCTAAATAAAGTATTTATTGTAATAACATTTTAAAGATATCAATCATAAAACCATTTAGTTGGAAGACTCTTACCTATGGGAAGTGTCTAGAAAAAAATTAATGTTTTCCTTTTCTCTCATGGTCACAACACTTTAACACCAGAAGTTTTTTCCTACACTGACCAATTCTCTGACAGCAGCTGGGAGTTCTATAATTCAATTCAGTCAATTCAATTCTGACACTAACCAGAATTAGTATAGATTCCATATGTTAAGGGCTCAGTCCCACAAGACTCTCCCTACTTTAAATGCCATTTTTGAGTAACACGTCCCCAGGTTACTCAAAACTTCTGTCCCACAAATTGGAGGTTCCTCCTACCCTCTCTTCAGGTTCAATAATTTGCTAGAGCTACTCACAGAATTCGGGAAACAGGTTACTTACTATTGCCAATATTTCAAAGGATACAAGTGAATAGCTAGATGAAGAGATGCATAGGGTAAGTTGTGTGCTAACGGCCACAGAGCCACCATGCTCTCTCCAGACCTGCCACTCTCCCAGCACCTCCATGTGTACCTAGAAGCTCTCTGAACCGGCCTAGAAGCTCTCTGAACTCCCTCCTTCTGGGGATTTATGGAGGCTTCATTACATGATCAATTAAATCACTTGTGATTGGTAATTCATTCAACCTCCAGTCTCTCCCTGCCCCGTGCTCCCCACAGCCCTTCCTGGTATTCTCGAGGTGGAGCTGAAAATTCCAACCCTCTAATCATGTGGTTGGTTCTCCAGATAACCAGTCCCATCTATAGGGGCTTTCAGAAAGTCACCTCATTGATACAAACTCAGATGTGGTTGAAAGGAGCTTGTTAGGAACAACAAAAGACTACTTTCACCTTTTTGACTCCTGTGTGTATTATGTGCTTTTGAGCCAGTTCCCACTCCTGGAAAGCCTGTGAATGAGTGATACAATGTCCTGCCTTTAACAGCCCTGCCCAGATCTTGTAGGTTCAATCCTATGGCTTCCTTTATGGTATCAATCCATTTCATATTGGTCTTCCTCTTTTCTTACTGCCTTATATTTTTCCCAGCATTATTGTCTTTTCCAAAGCACCTTCCCTTCTCATGATGTGCCTTCAGAAGGACAATTTCAGTTTCGTCATTTTTGTCTCCAGAAATGTTTTGGACTTAATTTTACTCTAGGACCTACTTACTCATCTTTCTGGCAGTCCACAGTATCCATAGAGCTCTCTTCCTAACCCATATTTCAGATGAGTCCATTTTTTTCCTATTAGCCTTCTTCACTGTCCAACTTTTGCATTGGTACATAGTAAAATACAAGGGTGTGGATGATCTTAGCTTTGGTCTCTAATGATGCAGCTTTGCTCTTGGTGATCTTTACTAATTCCTCCATTGCTGCCCTTATAAGTCTCAGCCTTCTTTGGATATTTTGGTTGCAGTCTACATTTATTTATTTATTTATTTTGCACACGGAACAGTGATTTTATTTATTTATTTATTTTATTGTCGTTCAGGTACAGTTGTCTCCATTTTCCTCCCACCCTCAAACCTACCCCCTTTGTCTTTATCCATGTGTCCTTTATATATGTTCCTTGATAGCCCTTCCCCGCTTCCCTCTGGTTACTGTCAGTTTGTTCTTCATTTAAGTGTCTCTGGTTATATTTTGCTTGCTTGTTCATTTTGGTGATTATATTTAACTTATAAGTGAGATCATATGGTATTTGTCTTTCACTGCCTGGCTTATTTCACTTAGCATAATGCTCTCCAGTTCCATCCATGCTGTTCCAAAGGGTATGAGCTCCTTTCTTTCTGCTGCATAGAATTCCACTGTGTAAATGTACTAGTTTTTTGGTCCACTCATTTATTGATGGGCATTTAGGCTGCTTCCAGCACTTGGCTATTGTAAATTGTGCTGCTATGAACATAGGGGTGCATAGGTTCTTTTGAATTGATGTTTCAGGATTCTTAGGGTATAATCCTAGCAGTGGAATTGCCAGGTCAAAAGGCAGTTTCATTTTTAGTTTTTTTTAGGAAATTTCATACTGTGTTTCACAGTGGCTGCACCAGACTGCATTCCCACCAACAGTGCACTAGGGTTCCCTTTTTTCCACAACCTCACCAGCACTTGTTTGTTGATTTGTTTGTCATTGCCATTCTGATTGGTGTGAAGTGGTATCTCATTGTGGTTTTAATTG